AAAAAAAAAAAAGAGGGCAATAAATATTAACTGTTATTTTAAGTCTAGGTATTTACTATTTCCTATTTTACACAACAGAGTAAAAACCTGAATTAACAACAACTCGAGTATAAAGATAATGAATCTAGATAAAACAGAATAACGTCAAATGGAGTATTACAACCAACAGACCACTTAACGTTCCATATCTAGAATGACGCTTTGTTTTTAATGAGCTGGGATCTCAAACTAGCTCAGTTCAGAGTGTCTAACCTGGGGATAGATTCCAGGCAACTCGGGAACTCCTAAGATCGTCTATAACATAGTGTATCTTTTTATTTTTCCTCAGGTAATATTCAAAACTTGCATCCAATTCTCAAATAAAAATCATACTAAAACATGAGAACCACCATTTGAAGAGAAAACCAGGTTGTAGAAATACATCGACATGTGCTTTGGCAAGAGATAAAGATGATTTGGTTCATATTTACTTGTTTAATTTTTTTATAAGGAAGTCCCATCTGAGTATCTCTGGCTCATCAAAACCCCAAAAGACAGCATTATCTTTGGAATCACATAATATTCCTAAGTAATGCCAATAATTGAAGAGATTCCGTGTCATGGAAAATATCTAGCTATGCCAAATGAGCAGGTCAGTGTTTTAGACGGGTTAATCAATCTTATTTTCAGACCTTCCCTGCCTGCCTCTAGTCTGTCCAGAGGTACGATTGTGTGGAAGGTGTTACGGATTCCTCATGGATTCAGAAGGCTCAACACTGATGGGAACCGCGGTTAATCTTTAATCTCCCTTTTTTTCTTCACAATGACACTGGGCAGTTTTCTGTAACTTGAAAGAACAGTTTGTAACGCCCATGATCTGCTGAGTGGCGCGGCTGAGTGAAAGGCACGAGGCCTTCTCTCTGGGGCTGAGGACAGAGCTTCTGGCTGTGGGCAACGCATCCCGTTTAAGCGATGACGGTCCCTCTCCTCAACTCCTCATGGCGACACAGGCCCCAGACGGACAATACATCACGCGTCACTGAACGGCAGGCCAAGCACAGCATGGGAGCCCAGCACCTCATTGCAAAGTAGCGAGATAATACTTCCTGTTACTCTTTGCAATCACCTCTTGAATTCCTCAAGAACACACAGAAAAAAGCTAATTTAGCATTTAAATTGCTATTATGCCCACTTTTCAGGAGTATGCAATCAACTGACAAGAAAAACAAAACTGCTATTTTAAATTGTCACCATTGTTATACTGGGGGAGAGACTCAATGCTTTTCATCAATGTAATTGTCAGAGGTTTGTTATTACACCTTGGCTTCTAGCTTTTATTTTTCCTTTTGTTTCAGATTTCGTATATATATATGTATATATGTATACACACACACACATCTTTTATATATATATATATTTTCCCTTTCATAAATAGCCTTGATGCATGCTTTAGTTTCACTCTTCTTCAATCATAAAATTCCAGAGCCGAAAGGTCTTACTTTATAATGAGATCACTCAGGCCCAGAGTGGTTAAGCACTCCCCACCCATCCCCTGCTGGCTGAGTGGCCTGGGGGGCAGTCCCTGGACCCCCGCTCTCACGCTCTCCTTCCTCGTCAAGCCCCCACCTGCCTCCTGCCCAGGCCACACCCTGTCCCCATGGATGAATGAAATGAAAGCGTGTGACCACCTACCCACACACCTTGGCAGAGGTGCGCTCCACACACGGCGGCCCCCACCCAGGCAGGTAAGCTTGGTTGCACCTTCTAAGCGATACCCCGGGAAACAGGAAAACGTCAGAGAGTCTCCGACACCGAAGTGGAAACCGATTCTTCGGCTGAAGGCAGGGACTCCGGGATCATCACACGGCTCCAGGTCATATTCTGAGACGGGAAAAGACAGAGCAAATGGGTGGGGGTTTGGCATACATACTTGACAATTACTTAGCAAGAATAAAAAAGTGCTATTATTAAAAACTAATATATATGTATACATATTTCCCCAGACTTGGTTGTACGGTTGTGTCGATTGTCTTCCTCAGTACTATGTGCCCTTTTATGGCAAATCACAAAGGCTGTGGTATTTTTTAAAAAACAGACATATAAGAGTGATAGTTATGAGGGGCTGGGAATGGTGTCTGGGGAGAAGAGAGATTGGCTGGTGGGTACGAATGCCCAGCTGGATGGAGGAATAAGTTCCATTGTCCACGGCAGAGTGAGGTGAGTACAGTTAGCAATAATGTACTGTGTATTTTGAAACAGGAGAAGAGATGGGAAATGTTCTCAACACAAAGAAATGACAAATGTTTGAGGTAATGAAATCCTCATTCATCTCACTCAGCTTACTAGTCAACCTCGGAGGTACGGTCTTCATTCTGCTGCCCATTTGGGTAAGAAATCTACTCTGGATCTACGATATATTCAAACTAATCTGGCCAATCATGAAACATGGTTATTAATTTTACCTATTTTTATTTAGGTCATTAAATATGAAATGTTTGATTTTGAATCAAAAGTACAGTTTATCAGATCTCAAACAAGAAGCAGAACAATCAATCAAAGTATGCGCCTAAACTATCAACACAGTTTTGCCATCTTAACGGTAGCTTGTTTATGCTGTCAGCAAAGAAGCTGGGAGAGCAAGTGGTGATGAAATCGCAAAAGGTGTTTTCTACAGCTTGTTGAAAATTGAATATTTTCCTTGAAAGAAGTGGTCCAAAGCCTGGAAGGAGTGGGAGTCAGTTGGTGCAAGGTCTGGTGAATATGATGGATGACAGAGAGTTTCCAAGTCCAGCCTCTGTAGCTTGAGCGGCATTGTTTGTGAGACGTGTGATCAAGTGTTATCTTGCAAGAGGATTGGCCTGTCTTTATTGATCAATCTGGGCTGCTTAATCCCAAGCATCCTCGTCATTTTGTCCAGTTGGTTGCAGTAGACATCCACTGTAATCGACTGACCAGGTTTCATGAAGCTGTAAGTGGATAATACCAGTGCTGGACCATCAAACAGATTCCATTAGCTTTTTTGATGAATATTCAGTTTTGGACTGTGTTTCAGCACTTCGTCTTTATCCAACTACTGTGCTGAATGCTTGCAATTGTCAAAAATAATCCATCTTTCATCACACACAACAATATGGTGCAGAAAATGGTTTGTCTTTATGTCATGACAGCAAAGAAAGGTAAGCTTCAAGATGACTTCTCTTCTGATGATCGTTTAATTCATGTGGAACCCATCCATCTGGCTTCTTTACCTTGCCAGTTTGTTTCAGGTTGTCTGATATTGTTGGAACAGTAACGTCAAACCTTGCTGCTAATTCATGTGTAGGTTGAGATGGATTCGCTTCCACTACAGCTTTCAGCTCATCATCATCCATCTTGGTCTCAAGTCGCCCCATGTGGCTCATTTTCAAGATTCAAATCACCAGAACAGAACTTCTGAAACTATCCATGTACTGTGCGTTCATTAGCCACGTCCTTCCCAAACACTTTGTGGATATTTTGAGCTGTCTGCACTGCATTGGTTCCACGACGGAACTCATATTCGAAAATAACACAAATGTTTGACTCATCCATGGCTTCACAACAATTGCTCAAAAAAAAATTTGAAAGATAATCACATGACAAAATGTATTTGTAAGCCTGAGGATGTACCTTCGTGATATAAATAAAATGAGAAGTGTCAAAGTGAAATGTCAGATACATCAACTGTCAAACTTAGTACTTAAGGAAATCAGACATTTCATACATAATAACCTATAGAACCACCCAGAAAGAGAAAAAATATAAACAGTGTTATTTAATTAAACTCGACAAATATTTATTGAAAACCTTTTGTATATAAAACATAGTGATAGAATCTCTAGGAAATTCTAAAATAAAGATGTCATGACCCAGTAAAGTTTATCCTGCATCTTGCTGGTATCATTCTCCTTCTAAGGACACAGAGTATGCTCTCAACTCAAACCATATCTTTCCTATCATTTCTTTAAAAACAGTTGAAAACTCTTGCCAAACAGAACAATTTGATAGTCTTTTATGCTATACCTATTGTATTATATAAACAAACACCACAGTCTTAAAGGTTCTTTGCTTTTTGTATATTTGTATTCCACAGTTTCAATGATACCCTCTGAAAGATACCTCCAGTATAGGAAGCCCAATAAACACCATGAATGCCATTTGGATAAAGGACAGAGAAGCTGCCCGATGGGTAAATGTGTTTGTGTAATAAAGTTGATACTTATTTGGATAATTAAAAAAACAAACTCCATTGTAACATTGTCATTAGCAATTGTTTGCAGCCCAGTTTCAAGGCAAAATCCTTCCAAATAAAATTATTCCCCTAGCACATCTAAAGAACTTGTCTACTTTAAGTTGGCTTTGCAATCAAAGCCAATTTTTACAAAGCTATCCGTGCTTGTGCAGGACCTCATAGATGGAGCTGACTTCTTCTGCCAGCTTATGTATTATTTTCCACTGGTGATGCATAAATGAATCATTCTAAATATTGACAGACTGTTACCACTTTGGTTTTAACATCCGAAAATATTTTTAAACTGTTGCAAAGAGTTTCGAAAACCCCAATGAAGAGTGTCTTGTTGGTGGTGGTGCTTCCTTGCCTGTTCATGTAGAAGTTTATTAAACAGGAAGGCAGCTCGAGAGTTACATTGAAACTTTTGATAATTACTGTGGTCTGAATGTGTCACCCAAAATTCATGCGTTGGAAACTTGATCCCCAGTGTAGGGGTGCTGGGAGGTGGGGCCTTTTGGGGAGCGTTCAGGTCACGAGGGCTCCACCCTGGGGCACGGGTTAATGATACAATAAAAGGGTGTCTTCCCTTCTGCCCTGTGAGGGTGCAGCAAGAAGGCTCTCCCCTTCCCAACTCCCAGGACTGTAAGAAATAATATTCTGTTCCTTATAAATTACCCAGTTTCAGGTGTTTCGTTACAGCATCACAAAGACCGTGGTCGTCAGAAGGCTGGCTGTGCGTCCCGTGCTGAGAGCAGCAGAATGAGGAACAGGTGGGATGGAGTGAGCGGAACGTGCCCGGACTCACGAGAAACACCTGCGGACGGTTTCCACCCACTGCATCACTGCCGTCTTTGCTCTTCGCCGTGTTCCACGGAAGTTCATTTTGGATCACGATGAAAGCAAAAACAGAGGCGAGCAACACTCTCACAGTGATCCCAGTCGAGATGCGCCCAGGGGGAGTGTCCACAGAGAAGGATTTAGGTATTAGCGTTAGGGACATTTAAGCCTTTGATATATAAAGTGGCCAATTTCATGATTACTGCTGATCACAGCAAATCTCCAAGAAATCAAGTAGCGTGAGCCAGTCCTGAAAACACCATTTATGCAGTGAAATACCAAGAAAAACCAACAAAGTCAGGGTACAGTAAATGGCAACTAGGCAGAATTAGAAGGAGTATGAAACAGTTCAGAAGATCGTAAACTCTCTAAGGAAGGTTTTTTCTATAAGATAACATTTCATTTTATATAATTTAATGATCATGCAGTCGTTAGTAAGCAATTATTAAATTCCTACTGAAGTTCACTATTGAACAACACGGGTCTAACTGCTTGGATCCACTTATACACAGATTTTTTCCCCAAAAAACATATTAGAAAATGTTTTTTGCAATTTGTGACAATTTAAAAAAAACACACATAGTCTAAAAGTATTAAAAAATTGAGAAAAAGCTAGGGTGTCATGAATGCATAAAATATATTTAGGTATTAGTCTAGGCTATTAGCAGGTCAGTTTGGGGGGAGTCAAAAATTATACTCAGATTTTCCATTGCCCAAGGGTCAGCGCCCAACCCCCACACTGTTCAAGGCTCAAGTGCACGTGTAAGATGGAGGAACAGAGCTAAGGTTCGTACGAGGTGGAGCAAACGGAAACCCTTCTATCACGATTTTTTAGCTTCAGTACCAGAGATGATAAATACTCAAATACGGCAACAAATAATCTCATAAGTGGCATCAACAGTCATTACGAGATCTTATAAACAGAAGAAATCACATGCGATTTCGGTGCTCAGTGACCATTTCATGAAAATTACATTAGATTTGGGAGGGGGGAAAACACTTTTTTTTTCAAAGCTTCATCTATACAAGTGCAAATTAATATAATTATTTAAACCCATAATAATTGTAGAGCAGCAGTTCCCTTTGTGTTGCTGGGGGGTGGCAGAGAATGTCGACACTGTGGGAATTTAGGGGTCCTAACCACCACACGTTCACTGAATATTGTGTTTATGAGACCAAATTCCTCCTGCACAGGCTGCACCAGTTTTTAAGTGTGTGTAACTTTTTTCTCATCTGTAAAAAATATTAATAGCTATGTCATAGAACTATATAATCAATCTAACCCATACAAAAGTCTGATGCAACATAACCCTATGCAAATATTATCTATGTGATTAAAGATAAAAATTGTCAGTGTATGAATATATTAAAACAAACTAAAAGCTCATCCTTGATTGCGTGTGTCCACGTGCTTTGCTCATCCCGAGTCGTTCTCAGTACACATATTGGCGTCTCCTGGAGGGCAGGAACCAACACGGTCAGACGACAGCTAATCCTGGGTCTGCTTCCCAACAAGGAACGTTTCCCCCGAGATTTTGGTAGAATTGGTGACAAGAAATGGGTGAGAAAAGCTTCTCAAAAGACAGAGATATTTACATTTTTTCAAAGATGAGAACTTGCGAAGTATATACAGCAAAGCGGCATTTTCTGGATGCTACGCCGATGTCCTCACACCCTGCATCACGGGGGCGTAGGACTGGGCCCCCAGGGGTTGGAAACACGCCTGTAATCACACTCACACTCACACTCAGAGAAACCGATGCAGTGTTGTTGCCTGAGGAGGGAAACAGCAAAAAAGACTGCCATACCTGAAAACGTGATGTTGAAGCCCTCGTAGGAAATGGAGAAGTCCGATATAAATCGAAGCTGGGCAGTGAAGTTCCCAAACAAGCCCGCCTTGATCGTGTGAGGCAGCACCGACCCCGTGAGCCTGGCAACCGGCTCGGAAAAGCTGCCGTCCTCGGTGATCAGCAAATAGTCATGGGAGCTCTCCAGGTGGAAAGTGTGGAAGATCATCTGAACTCCTGGGAAACGCGGTGGGGGTGGGGGAGAGACAGAGACAGACAGAGCAAGGAGCAGAGACAGAGATGGTGATAGACATAGAGACAGAGACAGAGAGATGAGAGAGACAGAGATGGGGAGAGAGAGGTCAGTAGAATTAATAGTTGCTGAAAAATACTTTCTTCTGGGCTTAGAGACCTCAAAGTCTTGAATCGAAATATTAAACAATTATCTTACTATTTAAATCCAACTTTGAAGTTTAAGAGGAAAACGGGCAGGTGATCTTCATTAGGGAGTCTACATAACTGAGGGAAACCTTCCTTGAGGTTGTGGTTTGATTTGCTCCTAGTGCCTGTGTCCTCCTAGTAACATACGAAGTATTATTTCTGGATTTCTATAGTGAAGTGAATAAAATTAACTACGAATAGGTCACTTTTAATAAAAATGCATATTTTTATGATGACAAAATCCTGGTCATTCATAATCTGTTCTTTATCCTTAATTTCTTTCCCTCAGGGCTAAGTTCTTCTTTAAAATGTATCCGCGGTTGCACAGTGTAACACAGTATATATAATAAAATGTAACAGTATATATAATAAAATGTCAACTTAGCATCAGGTTGAGTTCAAATCTGTGTAGAAAGACGAAGTCTCCATACTATTTATGTGATCAAAATTCCAAATACACTCTTAAAAAAATGACAAGTTTAGTCACAGAAAAAAGATTCAGGGTACAGTCCTAAACCCAACATTTATAATCTGCATTTCCTGCACAAAACGCAAATTTTTCTGGTTTTTACTATACTTGTCTGTAAAATGAGGAGTATGATATCTATTCTATAAGGCATCTCTTTGTTACATGAAGATAAATGATTTATTATGTGTGACAATACCGGGTAAACTTAAAACATAAGGTAGGCACAAAAACTATCCCAGATTTAACATGGAAATTAGATGTTTAGATACTTGCTTTTTGTTATTTAATCCATATTCACATTTTATTTAATTGATTCCTTTATTCCTTTTCACTATACTTAATTTTCAAGCTATGCTCACGTGCATATATCCACGTTACCTGATAAATACAGAGCAAATCAGGAATATATGTTGGCTTGTAGCAGCAAACATTAAAGACCATTTTCTTCCAAAGTATTTTTAAAATTAAAAATCAACAGTTTGAAATGTATGTGAGAAAATTAGTTATCTTATTTGTTCACACAGTAATATGTTTTTCTTTGCCCCTGCGTTTTTGTCTCATTTACTGTTCTGTATATTTGAGACCCATCACATGTTCTTACCTTTTCCATGAGACACTTCAATGGTCCACGTACAGTTTAGAGAGTTTGGGTAAAAATCCGGAAACCCAGGAGAAAGGACTGTTCCACTCTTCCCGTGGATGTAGCCTCCACACAGGGCTTAAAATGACAAAGGGAGATTATAGATGAGATTCACAACAATTGCTAGACCACAACGACTGCTAGAACAAAACACTTTTCAAATGACGTGGAATTTACACGAGGACGAAAAAAAGATCCAATGTCATGTCCGTGAAGAACCAAGCAAAACCTAAACTTCAAATAACTTGCAATTATGACGTGCCAGTTCGTGTGCAGTGTCCTAGCCAGTGCAAAAGCTCGAGAACGCGACAGAACAAGGCAGAGCAGGTGCACGAGGACGCCTGGTGACCAGCAGGCGAGACTGCGGGACTGGCCGGGTTTGCGCCCTCTAGCGCTGCGGGTCTTCTTCACAGCACTTCGGGGAGTTTAAATCACCTGCAACAAAACGTGTCCTGCTCAACATGGACTCAGAGACGCAGTTTTGAGGGAATGAAAAGAAAGTTATATGTAATAATTTCAATGGGAAAGTGGCAACTATTAGAACGTCAGCACGATATGGGAGTTTAAGTTCACAGACTCACGAATTCAAACGTCAGCCCCGCTACTCGCTAGCTCTGTGATCTTTGGTAAGTCATTTGTCTTCACTCCTTCCTATCTGTCTCATCCTGAAAGTGGAAATAGCGATAACGCTCAGCTCATGGACAGGTGTTTGCAGTGGTTGCCATGGTAGAGCACACTTTACAGTGTCTAACTGATATTTAGTATTCAGAACATTAGCTGCTGATAGCTGTTCACGGGAATCTGAACTTTAAATGATGTCAATAATCTAACAATTTGAATAAACTCGATATTGTCTACTTTTACCAACATCAAGAGGGGGATATCGGCACGTTCTCACCAATGTTTTTCTTTTATGACACATCTTCAGACTTGTCGAGCTTTCACCGGAATGGAAGGACTGTGCCAAGACAGAATCAACGAAGGTAGCAGAGTCCACAGAGCAGGGGCAGGAGAGGGGACAGTCGTTCACGTTCTGCAAACAAACAGCTGCACGTCTCAGTAAGTCGCAAATGCGCTGGGTCTCCACAAACACCCCACCTTGGCTGTGAGGTCCCTGTGTGGCCCCAGCACAGAGCCTGGAACCCAGCTGCCTGCCCTCACTGTGACAGCCACTTCCTGTGTCATCTAGGCTGGGCTAGGGGTGCCCAGATGGCTGGCAAGACGTTATTTCTGGGTGTGTCTGTGAGGGTGTCCCTGGAAGAGATGGGTATTTGAATCCGTGTTCTTCACTTGGAGAAGAAGATCCGCCTTCGCCAGTGTGGACAGGCGTCATCCAATCCATCGAAGGCCTGGGTAGAGCAACCAGGCAAGAAGGACGAATTTTCTCTCTTCCTGAGCTGGAGTGTCCACCTTCTCCCCCCTCAGGCATCGGAGATCCTGGGTCTTGGGGCTTCAGACTTCAGAGCTTACGCTAGCAGCTCCCCGGGTTCTCAGGCCTTCGACCTTGGACTTAATTTCACCACTGGGTTTTCTGTGTCTCCAGCCTCCAGACAGCAGATCCTGGGATTCCTCTCAGCCTCTGTGATCGGTGAGCACATCCGCATTACAAATCTCCTCGATTAGATACTTACATCCTGTTTGTTCTGCTTCTCTGGGGAACCCTGGCCAATACACCCACTTACTAGCCGGTGACACTGAGCAAGTTCCTCTACCCCGCCGTGTGTCCATGTCCTCGTAAGTAAACAGGGGCAATAATCATATCTGACACCCTGGGTGCTAGAATGAAATAAGGTAACACACGGAGAGCTTAACACAGCGTCTCACCAGCAAAACATCTCTCTGTCAGTATCACACTTTACTATGGATGTGACAGGATTCCCTTGTTCTCCTTTTAAATATGTCCCCATTTTTGGCACGGATGGGTTTACACTTCCTTTCCTGAACTAGATAAGATTATCCATCATGAAACAATTGATGCCTGGAATAACTTTTTCCTAATAATATGAGCATTCCGATGTATGTTTTTAAGAGCTGCTTCCACGAATAATATTTGCAAAAGAATTGGGTGATTTATGAAAGACGTGATATGTGTCACTGTGTTACTAATCAAGTAGCTTAAGGGAACAGATCATCTCTTTTAATATGCAAACCACACGGGAAGGGCTACACAAAAACCAGCAAAACAGAAACTTTCTACAATGAGTTCTAGGGTATTTTAATACTTTCTCATCAGATATTTGCATTTTCAAAGTGCATTGACCCTATATTTCACTATGAAAGAGGTGACATTAAATATCACCTGAAGTTAATTCATTCATTTAAGAGTTGTCAGCACCTGCTACTGACCAGGCCCTGTCCTCAGCCTCAGGGAAGATGATAATAAACAAAAGAGGTAAAAATCTCTGTCCTCATAGAATATACTTTCTACTCGGAAGAGGCAGAATAAAACCGGAAACAGTAAAAGGCAGACGATGGGCCATGTGGGAAGATGACTCCTGACTGTGAAGGAGACTAAGAAGGAGGGGGAGGGTAGGGTGAGGCTGGCAGGTGGCCGGGGGTCCGTGCACAGACAGTGCTCTGCGAGGACTGGAGGGACATGAGGGAGCTACGGAGTGTCTGGGCAGGAGCTCGGGGAGAGAGGAAACAGTGAGGACAGAGGCTCGGGCTAGCGTGGGCCTGCCCGGGTGGGGACAGAAAGGAGCCAGCCTGGGCGGGGGGCGAGGACGAGAGGGGGAGAGTGAGGAGGGGTGAGGCTCAGAGTGTCTGCAGCGGCCGTGCAGGCATCGGAGGGCTTTGGCATTTCTCTCAGGGGGACGAAGGCCACGGGAGGCCCTGCCTAGAGAACGCCACCATGCAACGTGGTTTCAACCTGCCCACGAGGCTGCTCTGGGAATACACGATGGCAGGGAGGCAGCCGTCAGGACACTGGACCAGGACATTAGCAGCCGGCGGTGAGACGTGGGCCAAGCCCGGCTGTATTTTGCAGATGGAGCCAGAGGGACTTTCTTATGCATGGGACGTGGGCATTATGACAAATGCCCACGTGATTGTGCGGTTATAAGCCTGAGTGTGAAATACCGTAAAGCAAGCAGGACGCTGGGAGAAGCAGGTTTTGAGAGGAACCCGGGGTTCAGCCTTGGATGCGGGAAGCCCGACACCTGCTGGACAACCAGGTAGAACGGCTGACACTGCACCGGGACGTGCGAGGCTGGATTCCGGGAGACGTCTGACCAGGGGAGAGAGAGGAGAGCCCACCTAGATGAGGTCACCAGTGCGGCAGATGCAGGCGCAGATACAAAGACTAAGACCAAGGATACTTCAGCGTTGGCAGCTCGGGGGGAAGGAAGCTTCCACCAAGGAAACGGAAACAGAGAAGCCAGCGTAGTAGGAAGAAAACCAGTGGAGCACGGAGTCCTGAACGCAGAAGCTATACATTGGTGACTGATCATGTGTCTATCATTGGATTTGTGTAAATTAGCACACGAACTTACCAATTTTTTATGAAAGAAGCGAGACCATATCGGAAAGAAAGGAAGGAAGGGAGGGAGGGAAAGAAAGAGAAGAAAGTAACAGTAAGATCTGCACCTAGTGGGCCCACAGCTGTGGCTCGTGGCAGGTCGCGCCTCTCCTGTGCCTGTGTACCTGCGGCCCGGTAGACGCAGATCTTGTCTCCCGCCTGGTGGCCCGGAGCCCAGCATCCGCTGGGCCTGTGTACCTCCATACTTGCTGAGATAGCCTCAGGCCACTTGTGCTGTCCACCTGCACTTTGCGGTTTCTCCCCAAAGCACCATTTTTGTTTGGGTTAATACTTTGGTGACAAAGGTCAAAGAGTTTGAGTGGTTTTTGGCTAAGTATAATTGTCCCATAAACCCTGGTATTTTGGGTGCATGATTTTAAAGAAGCCAAGGTGTTTAATGAACGCATACATTATGTTTGAAAAGAAAGGCCCATTGTCTATAAAAAGTGAAATGTAAATAATATATATATTGTTTTTCCATAGAAACAATGTTATAATGGGGTTACATTCATGTCCAAACACAAAAGGCCTCACTTTTTTTCTGCAAATGATCACAAGTAGCATATTTACCTAAACTTTAACATAGCTATACACCGTATAGTATAAAGTTGAGCAACAGAGTATCGCACAGCAGTCAACAATGTTACTTGTTTTAGAAATTTCTAAGAGCAGACCTGTGCAGGGCAAGGGGAGTGGCTGTTATTGAAAAGAGCCACCGATGCTTCCTGCGAGCTCGTGGTCTCAGGACAGATGCCCCGAGGGGACGGCTGTCCCAGAGACTCAGGCAGGGGCACTAGGACAAGCTGTGTGGACCCAGACGCAGTTCTGTGCTTGGACCTGGGTCAGGGTAAACCAGGTCTGACAGCCGAGGCTGCGGACGGTGGCTGTGCTGTCCCACATGCCAGGTGCAGTAAACGCCCTCTTTAAAAACTGTGTGTGGAACTGAGCTCTGTAAGTTCGATTATTTGGGGATAAAGTTGAAGGACAGCCCATAATTTTTCATTGTTTATTTCCAAGCAGGTGTTCTACCTAGTAGAGAGAATTTGATGGGTAAACTTGCAGTGTTCAACAGCAATGGCATTGTTAAGGCGGACCACTTTTCAAGGCGAAATCACACTTCAGTCGTATTTTTCCACCCCGTAAAATACTCGCGTCGCCCACACTCTAGGGATTCATTTGCGCCCCGGAGTTCTGATGAGGGAGCCCCACCTACCGTCGCAGCTGGGCAAGGCGTGGTTCCACTGATGGTTTTGCTCACAGAGAAGGGGCTCGTTGTCGCTCAGGGTGTACCCTGGGTCGCAGCTGAATGTCACTGTGGACCTGACGCCGAAGTTGCTACCATGGCGATGGCCATTCACAGGGATGCCGGGATCGAGGCAGGAGTCGGACTCCAGAGTCACACCTGGGTGCACAGAGAAAACGCGTCACGGGGAGACCTTGCTGGTTTATTGAAAAGAAAACATGTTCGTGCCGTATGCTGGGTAGTATTCCCAGGCACGATCAGACGTGGAAAATTATTCAGGTGAACCCAACAATCCGTTCATGTAGAAACGAACGCATCTTCAAATATTCGACCCTGTCTTTCAAATTAGATTCATATTGTCACACTATTTTCCAGATGGTATCTAAGTAGTACGACCTTGAAAAATCCATCAACCTCTCTGAATTTTACTTTTCTTCTTGGAAATAAATGAACTGTACTAAATGAAGTCTAAGTTTTTACTGCTTTCTATCATATATGCACATATACATATATGTACACACACATATACATTACACATAATGTTTTAGTTAGATTTTGGCAATTATACTTTAAATTTCTCATATGTGCAAACACACAATAACACATACATACACACAGATAAAGTGCAATTTAAAGTGCATTAGAGTTGGTTTTAAAAAAACTGCATTCCATAAATCCATATAATATTCAAATTTGCACTTAAGTCAGCCACTGTCAAGGTGGCTACAAGTAGCCTATGCTAAAAGAGGTGAAAACATAAAGTGCTGTGTAAAGTTAAGTAATTGTGATTACGTCATTAGAGAGTTTCTTTACTCTGTGTCTCACATTAACATTTTTCTTTCTTTCTAGAATAATACATAGTTTTAAAGGCAAGGAAAAATGAGAATAAGGGTAGAGAACATCATTGCAAGGTTTGCACATGCAAAGAAACAAAGAAGACCTTCCTATTGCTGTATATTACTCTCTCAGCATGGGTCGGAGCATTGGAGTAATGATCTGAACTATTAACCAAAAATCGTAGAATATTTCCAATATACAGTCTGGTTAGTCTCCAAAAGTGATCTTTGGAATACTGTTTCTAGTCATTACATTTATTTTACCAAAGTTTGAGTGAAGTAATTTATGAATATATCTCCCTTCATTAAGTCAGATACATGAAATATAAATGAGGGGTGACTTTTTAAATAATAATAAATAATAGGTGATACTACTTCTTTATCATCATAGTAAATCGGCTCAAAACATACATGGGACATATCCAGGACAGCTAAGCCACAACACAAAAATGTCTAGTAAGGAACATGGTCTTCATACAGCGCCCGAGCTCCCGGGAGTTAACCTCTAACCCCCTGGAATTTCCCAAGTGTTAGGAGTGGCCCCTTGGGCAATGTGAACTTAGTCCAACCCACAGGGAGGGGCAGCTGGAGACTGAGTTGAACCATGTGGGCAATAACTCAGTCAATCACGCCTAGGTAATGAAATCCCAATAAAACTCCAGACACGGGGGCTTGGGGGAGCTTCCCTACTTGGCCGTGCGCTGCGCCATCAGCCATGCACCACGGCCGGGAGCGGGGAGCGCCGTCCAGGACTCCGAGGAAAGAGGATGCCTGGACACTCCGAGTTATGACGTTCTCCTGGACCCACTCTCTGTGTCTCTCTCTTTGGTGGGATCTAATTTATATCCTTTCCCTGCAGTAAACACAGCCGTGATTATCGTAGCTTTTAGTGAGTTCTTTGGGTCCTTCCAGCAAGTTATCAACCTCAAGTGTCACCTTGGGAACCCCTCGAACTTGCTGTTATTTTCAGAATTGGCAGAATGTGCAAACTTTGCAGGTCTGTGCCCTTAACCCCACCGCTGGTTAACGCTGGGTAAAAAACAACAAGGGCTGTGTCAGCGAAGTTTACCATAATGAAGAGAAAAAGAAGCAAAGTGAAAAAAATACATAGCATTATTTTTCTAAAGAATTCTTTTATTAAACAATCATTCTAACTAATTTCCTGAAAACTAACACAAATCTATCACCCTAAACAACAGGATGTAACAGTCATAGCTTTTGTGATTCGCGGCAGCAAGCGCATCCTTCCTCCCCTGCGTGAGGCTCTAGTCTTCCAGAGGCAACGTGGGCATCATCCGGACAGAAATCTGTCACCTCCCTACTCCCTTCTCTCTCTCTCTCTGTTTAATTTTCATTCCCTCTCTCTGTCTCTCTGTATCTGTGTCTCCCCCTTCACACGCACGCAGTCACTTTCTAAGGCAGCTTTTACGACATCTTTCACAGCACTCTACAGATTGATGTATCCCACGCCCTGCATGCCCTGCAGACAGACGGTTCTGTAACATCAACATCGAAACAAGAATTCCCTCATAATAATAAGTCTGCTGAAGATATGGATTAGCCTCTCAGCTTCCGAAAAAAAAAAGCCAGTTAACTAAATCTATCCATTTCTTTCATAAGTTTTCCATGATCACTAACCACCACTGCAGTGAATAACGATAATAGGAATTGTTATTTTAGTTGATGTGAGAATAACGTATGAATGAATAGTTCTTATAATGAAATTTATAAATTGTAATCAAAACTTTTCCCAGGGAAAAGAGAAAATTTATAGAGAAAAGAGAAAAAATATATTAGAGGAAATCAAAGCATAGAACTTCAAATGTAGAATTATTTACATATAAAACTAAATAACTGCTAATGTCATAACTGATGCTTACTAGCAACGCTATTGCATAATTTATTCATTGATTGGTTTGTAAAGCATAAAGGGCAGCCACGTTGAGTGGTGACATGTGCAGACATTGTGCCCCTTTGCGTGACAAGTTGTTTGAGTGGAGAATGCGGGAGGGGCGAACTGTTGAGGGGTAGGTGACGTTATTAAATTTGAGGGATGAGCAGTTCACCTGAAACAAGCCAGGGACAGGAATCCCCAAACGAGGCGAGGTGGGAAGGAACAGGAGGAGTTTCACAGCAGGCGGCGCCCTCCAACACAACGAGACCTTTACGATAAACTAAAGCCAGTCTGTGAGGACAGGCGGCCGATGCACTTTGATGAAAAGGCGCAACCGTGCTTTTCCGAGTGTTGTTTAGTGTGTTTTCTTTCCCTGCCGTCTCCAGCCCGACAGCACAAGAGGAACAGGGATCCATGGATTTTATTAAACTGTGGCTCCATGCAGACTCTATTCCAACTCTCTCTTACTTCAAAGTTAAAGCAGCTGTGAATTTTTGGCACAAGTGGGTATAAATACAGCACTTCTTCTCATGTGGCCTTTGTAAAATAAATGTCTGAATAAATTTGTTATTTAATGAACAGGGGAAGTTGGGAACTTTGGAAATAATCCACAAGTGGCTTATATTAATGCACATTTGGTATAAGCAGGGCTCTCAGCTGTCAATCTTTATAAGAATTCTCGTCCAAGGAAGAAATGAGTATTTGCCGAGAGCCTTTTACATACCAGGTTTAGAGCTGTCACCTTTCACAGCCTCCTAACCATTTAGAAATAGAAGTTTGCAAGCCTCCTTCTACACATGAGGCAAGAGGCCAGGAAATTAAGCAAACTGGTCATGATAATCTCTTCCCTGTCTCTCTTTCTTATGTGTGATGTGCATGTCTGCACATGGGTACTAGCATGTGATTAGAGCGTGTGCGTGTTGTATCAAATCGTCTCGCATCCATTACCATGATGTCTTGAAATACTCCTTTTTGGGTCATAAAAAAAGGTCACTGAATCTCAAAAAACAAATCTCTGTGTGTGTGTGCATGTGTGCGTGTGTGTGTGTACACTACAAAATATACTCCTTTACTTATCACAATGTTTTTGGAAAATAACACAATATATGAATTGCATAGTAGGACGGATACAGTAACATGCAGCAAATCTTTTTTATTTCTTCAAATATCATTAAAAAGATACTTTTGAAAGAAACTATTTCCAAGAAATGCTCTGAAATTAAATGGAAAACCTCCATACACTTGAGGTTTATTTTCCATTTATTTTGTAATTCTTTATAAAATCATTTTTAAAGTGGGGATCTGAAGACTAATGCACAGAGCAGACGCGCGTTCCGGGGGACGACGCCATGACCCTTAGGCAGAGAAGCGGCTCCCCGTTCCCCGTGACTAACACAGAACTATGGGCACGACCTGCTGCCGGACTCGAGTTCACGAGAGCCCTGATTCGCAGGACTGAGCACACAGAGCAGAGCTACAGCTCCAGGTATGCTTTTCGGAAATCCTTGGACTTCAACCCTTCCGCGTGGGATTCAGAAAGACCTTGTGCCATGCACGCTGCTCTCTGTCGCGCAGGCTGCTCACGGTCGCGCACGCTGCTCTCTGTCACGCAGGCTGCTCACGGTCGTGCAGGCTGCTCACGGTCGCGCAGGCTGCCCCAGGCACAACCGCAGGACAAGTCAGCCGTGCGTCTGGGAGGCTGTGATCTCGGCAGCCTTGTGTCTGTGGGGCCGATTGCCACGGACCTCTTTGTGCGCGAAGACGGGTCATTAATAATTTTGTGAAGCAAGGGAGGTTTATGGTGTCAACCATTTGTGACGAAAGACAGAGGAGAGAAGAGCGATGTTGTCATTTTCTAATGGCACAAAGAATTTCACATAGTCAATCTCGGGTCGTGGCAACCCATTTTTTAAGAGCGGGTTGGATGAGCGAGTGTAATTATTTTCTAGCTCCTGCATCTTGGCTTCCAGAGGTGTTTCCTCATCCGGTGCCAGACACGGTCGACTTTGTAACAGGGCTGGCAGTGCCCGTCCCTCGCAGCCGTGCATCCCGCCTCTGTGGCCACCGTCCCTGCGGAGCTGACCCGTTCCTTTGTCCTTGCACGGCCTCTGCAGCCCTCTGGCCCCTTCCCCGCACCTGCCTGCAGGTTCTCTCTCTGCCTGGAGCCCAGGATGGGCCCCCGCCCTCCAGCTCCCCTTGAGGACTTGATTAAAAGTGCAGATTTCGGGCCTTCAGCACCGGCTTACTGAGTCACAGCATCTAGACTCTGGGCTTCGCACTCCACCACTGACTGAGATCCTCAGGGGTGTATTAGTGCACAGCGGTGTTTGAGGAAAACTGCTCCTTCAGCACGCCTTGTAAACTGGGATGGCGTCTGCATCGGTTATGGGGCTCTCTGAAAGTACTTAGGTCTCTAAACCACCCACAGAAATAGCAGCCAGAACATCTGTGCCGGCCCTCAGGCCTCTGTCTTGTTTTAAAGCCCCGCAGGTAACTGTTAGGTACAGCTCCGGCTGTTGAGCTCTGTTTTAAAACTCCCAGGTCGTTCCTGACTTATCTATTTTATTTACTTTTTTTAAAAAGCCATATCCTGTGTCTCATTTGCTTCTTGCATTTCCTTATTTCCCTTCAAATACATAACAATCAATCCATCAATAAGAGGTGATCACAAGGCAAGGTTCAGTGCGGCATCCTTCTAAGGTTATATTTTTTCAACGTAGTTTCAATGCTTTAACCCAGAGGAAGACCCCGGAAAAGTGTGGAGGCCTCTGGAAGGATCATGAGAAGTTCACAGCATGAAAGTCTGGATGCGTATTTAGACCCGTCCTTTCTAAGTCAGAGCACTAGGACGCTGGGCACGGGAGACTCCTTCCCACCTGTCTTCACCCACCAGGTGAGGCCTCGCCTTCGCCTGCAGCTACAGGGCTGCCTCCCGGACTCTCCAACAGAGCAGGAAGGAGAAGGA